GTGCTGTTTTGCTTTAGCTCTGATTAAGAACCATTTTTTTTAAAGAATCCCTTACTACCGGAACATCAGCACAATACCTGTAAATTTGCCAAAGCTGGCTAATAATTACAGCATGAGGAATATTTAAGTCAAGGATTATCTGTAGCGGGTGTGGTGAGGGGATTACCAGATGATGCCTGGGCTGGGATGTACGGTTGATTATTGAATATTTGACTGGTTAAATGGTGCTCAGATACAGAAAAAAGGGGTGGTATGGGCAGAGGTGGGTTTCACATAATTTTACCACCGGTTCGCCGTGCACTGAAAATGTGAGTGCGTGTGTGCTTTCCATGCATGCGCTCGGCCTTCTGTGCATGGCTTGCACGCATGTGCGCGGCTGAGAATACATGGCTAAAAAGGATGGCATTGAGCGAGGCAGGTGGGCGGTGGCGGGCCCACTCACAGATTGCCATTACCGGTTCTCCCAAACCAGTCCGAACCGGCTGAATACCACCACTGGGAATGGGAATTAAGACTGATGGGAGAGAGAAGTCATACAGTTGTGATGTGTAAGGGAAGACAAAAAGGTGGTCCCCAATGTTTTTGTTACCTTATCTTACGACCACAATTGACCCCAAAATTTGGATTGCTAAGCAAGGCAATTAAGTGAGTGCTTTATTTTAGGATGTTTTTGCCAGGGTGGTTAAGCGAATCACTGACGTTGTTAAGTGAATCATGCAGTCATTAAGTGACTCTGGCTTCCCCCATTGACTTTTCCTTTTTGGAAGCTGGCTGGCAAAGTGACAAATGGTGGCCATGGGGATGCTGCAATTGGTCGTGAGAAAAACGATCCTAAGTCACTTTTTTCCAGTGTTGTTGTAACTTTGAACAGTCACTAAATGAATGGTGGTTAAGTCGAGGACTACCTGTAGTGGAAATCTGGTGATAGGCTGTTCTTGGGGAATGAAGAGTCAGTGCTTGAAACCGATGTCTCATTCCAGACTCCAGTGTTCAGCCCCCGATGTCAAATGTCTGTATCCTTGCTGGAGACTGTGAGTTTGGTTAATTAATTCATGACATGGTTTCCATTCATTTTGAGACAGAACAGCAAAACCTTGCAATTTAACACAGCTAAGAAAAACTGCATTGAAGCACAGACATCGGAGTGGGGAGCAGAGTGACAAAATGTGTGTCGTGTCATCATGTAAACTTCGTTAACTTATAAAATTGCAGGTAGTTTTAAGACGCAAAAATGTATTTATTTATGGGTTACTATTTATTTATTAAGATTAGATTAGAAGATTAGAATTCTTTATTGGCCAAGTGTGATTGGACACACAAGGAATTTGTCTTTGGTGCATATGCTCTTAGTGTATATAAAAAGAAAAGATACGTTCGTTAAGAATCATAATGATAGTCTTAGGATACAAATAAGCAATCAAATCATACTAGGAAACAATCAATATAAATCGTAAGGATACAGCAACAAGTTACAGTCATACAGTCATACGTGGGAGGAGATGGGTGTTAGGAACGATGACAAGATTAATAGTAATAGTAATTAAATTTATATGCTGCCCATCTCTCCTATAAGGCAGCTTTGGGTGGCTAATTTATGCCATCACATCATCAAATGCATGTAACATTTTTTCCATCATGGTTAGTTGTGGATATCTTGTTTGCAATCAAGCAAGGAATCGAACTTATAGACTTCTTTACTTTTCTAAACCTATTCCCCCAAAACTAACATTCCTCCCTTCAGAAAAATTTTCAAAGTTTTCATTTTGTTTCACCATGGTCCTAAGCATTAAAAAAAGACATTAGATGCGCTGTCTGTCATGAATAGTTTGTTAATCCCTAAACCACTGATTTAGGTTTTGTATTGTCTAACTAGCTCCACCCTGCTGCTCCCATTTTAGCAAAAGGAGCCAAGAACATTTAAATTCTGCTCTCAACATTGCACGTATTCTGACTCTGGCTACCATTAATCATCTCAATGTAAGACTTGTATCCTAATTTTATCTTGCATTTCATAAGAACAAGCCTATCCTTTTTCAAAATTCTCTGAAGCATGTAGACATTTGCACAGATAGATATTTCAGATCTGGAAATAGGACATATCAGGTACTGCAAATAAAACTGAAACTGTAGAGATGTTTGCATAGCTTTGTTTGCTCACAATAGCCTGGGGATCCACTCTAGCTCTGAAGTCAAGCCACCTGTATACAGATTTTGACATATCCGTAAATCTTTTCTTGAATCCAGCCACTTCTCAATGTTAAGAAAAGGTGAATAGTTCAAACCAAATGTATAAGAATATTTCAATTTTCAATCATAAAAGGAGCCCTTTCTCTCCTGCCCTAGCACATTTTCAGATAATATTTCTTCTCGCATATTTACAACTGAAATAATTCAAGAATTCAACAAGCCTCTCTTGTTCCGAGTCTTTAAACAATTGATATTTAGGAGTAAAACTTTGAAGCATTATTTAGCAACTGTTATTAAAAGTTGTTAATATACATTATCTTTCAGAATTTGTCCAATCCTGCTGACACTTGGGAGGGCCATATTAACACCTTACCTCACCTACCATCCTCCAGAAGTCCAGCTCATCCATCTAAACCAGTGTTTCTCAACCTTGGAAGCTTGAAGATGGGTGGACTTCAACTCCTAGAATCCCCCAGCCAGCGCAAGGTTGAGAAACACTGATCTAAACCGATGCGTCACGCATTGGCCATGCCCATGCCATTTAGCTGGGAGAAGAGTCGCAATACGCCGTGTGACGCTGTCATGACATGAGTTTGACACCCCTGATCTAAACCATCCAGAGTGCCAGATGAGTAACAACTGTCTTACAATGGGGTACGCTGTAAGCAGTCAGTATCATTGTAGCTTCCTTCCTTCCCTCCTCCCTTCTCTATTGCCAGTCAGTTCTAAGAACCAGACTTCTGACCAGTAAATGAAACTGTCTTCACTTTCTCTAAATTGTTGGCTTGATTGTAGAATACAAATGTTTAATATGGAATATAAACAAAGCAAATCCTCCTCAAAAGAGAAATAATACTTAATTAATTGAAAAAAATCATTTCCATTCTTCCATTGTGGGTATCGAAGTGTCGATTACGATACATAGAAAGGCTGGAAAATTGTTGAACTGTGACTTCATCAAGTAGAGATTGTGGATGAGATGCTATTGATGTCTTCTCTCAGTACCTAGAGAACAACAGGCTTCAGCTAAACGTTGGCAAGATTGAGTGGATTTGGGTTTTGGAGCCTCTTCTATCTGGTGATTTATCGTTTTTGAATAGGATTGCATTGCTTGAAACAGATCCAGTACACACTCTTAGGGATTCTTCTGGATTCTTCTGCCTGCTCAAAGAGCATATGGCAGCCATGGCCAGCAACGGATGGACACGCGTTACTGGTAGTTGGAAAGTTCTTCAACAAAAAGGAAACCAAGTTCTAAGAAAACTACTTAAAAATTGGAACTATTTAGTCAATTAAATAAATCTGAAGAATTAAAAGACCAATCAATCAGCAAATGTTTTATTTTAAATGTAAGTATTGACAAAAGCAACAGTTAGTGGTCCTCTCAAAGAAAGGATATTGTCATTGCAAATTTGCAAAAGGGACGTGGCGTCATTGACTGCAATAGGCGGGCATAGAAATTCAATAAATAGATATATTATGCTCACCATAATTTACATCCCATCTTCAAACCAAAATAATTTAGAGATAAAGACTCCGTGAAATTTCAAGTTTGATAACAATAATGTACAACAACACCGTCATCGTTTGGGGTTTATTGTTCAACTTTCTTATAGCTCTCGATGTCCAGATGCTTTTGTCCCCATCTCAACGCTATTCAAACGTGAACTGCTTACCTTTATTAGATCAGCCATAGTTGACTGCTATGACTGCTTTAAAGATTAATAGATTTATTACCTCATAAGGCTGGGGACCATGACAACGGTCATACAAAACTTCTCGGGGCAGAAAGTTAAACTTTTACTACAACAGTACAGCAATGCCAAGCTTCTGGAAACTCTTCCAATTCAAAGACTATCAACCGGTCAACTATAAACAGGCTACTCGCATTTTTAACTCATCTCTTATCCCACTCTTAAGATGTAGCAGCCCACTATTAAAAAAACGAGGCTAAATTAATTATGGAGTAACGCATGTAACCGTGCAGCAAAACCTCCTTTTTTAAAATTAAGGCTTTATTTTATTATATAAAATACAAAGAAGATAAGAAAAAAGTAGGAAATTAAGGGAAGGAAAGGGAGCGGGGGAAAAGGGGGTGTGAGATACAAGGGGAAAGAGAAAAAGCAAGAAAAGGGGGGCATTGACTTCCAACTCTTCTGAGCAGTGCACAAGATAAAACACACTCCAACCTCAGCTTTTTGCTTTTACCCATTTAATATATAACAGCAAAAACCTCCTTTTTAACCCATGTAGTCTGCCGGTGCAATCCGAAACTGCCTAAATAATATTTTAAATCCATTGTATGTAAAAAAAAAAAAAAAGAAGAAAAAAAAAGTCCAAGACTATTTGGAGACCGTCATCTATAAACATTGGTAAGCACAGGGCGAACATATTTGGGTTGCAAAGGATTGGGACGAGCCCCCCACACCACCCCCAAGACGGCAACCCCCAGAGATTGCAAAAAAAAAAAAAAAAAAAAAAAGTCAACACTTGGCTGCAATATCGGCATGTTCCGTAGTTTGCAATACGCGTACAGTTCCCACCACCCCAGCTGCAGACGCTCTCATATTTTGCTGGAAACCAGAGAAAAAGACGACCGAACCAGAACGCCCCCTCCCCTTCCCTCTCACATATTATCCTCCTGGCGCGCGACGGCCCCGCCCTCCCCGCCAGCAGCCCCACCCACTTCTCCATCTCTCTTTCCCTCCTCTCCCAAAGCCGGGTGAGAGAGAGAGAGAGAGAGAGAGAGAGAGTGAGGCGGTGGGGGAGGAATTGGACTCTCCGCGAGTCCCAGACAGACGCGCCGAACGTCCAATGCGCGCGCGCGCTGCTTTCTCCTAGAGGAGGGGAGTATCCAGAAGCTGTGCCCAATGAGGCGGCGGCCGGAGCGGGACTTCCTTCAGGGATCCCGCTAGAAGGGGAAAAAAAAAAAAAAAAAAAAAGGCAGCCCGGCAGCGGAGGTGACACGTAAGTGCGGGGTTTGAATGGTGTCAAAAAGAAAAAAAAGCGAAGGCGGAGAGCCGGAGAAGAAAAGCTTCCTCTTTGGGGCAGTTTGGCAACAACACACACACAAGAAAAGTAACTTTAACGGGGAAAGGCGCTATTGGAAGAGTCCGGTTGCCTTGGTGGAAGAGACTCTCTCGCCTTCCACCCCATCCCCTGCCAAAGCGAGAGGGGCGCTGGGCAGAAGAGCCCCTCCAGTCCCGGGAGAGGGAACCGTCCCCCCTGCAGCAACGCTTGGCTGATGCTTCACCTTGAAATCCGGCAGAGGAATTGATGGAAGCAAAAGGACGAGCCTGCCTGGAGATGCCCCGTTTCTTCTGAACTTGCATCTTGCTGGGGACGACGCCTTCCTTTCGGATGCCCGCTTGAACCGACCCTCTTGGGAACCGACCCTCCCTGCAGGCAACGCCTGATCTCGGTCTCCTAGGAACCTGCAGCTCTTTGCAAAGCTGGCTTGCTATGACCTTGAATCCCTGGCAGGGGTTGTAATAAGCTGGTTAAAGTTTGCACGGGGGGCCTATGGCAGCAGCCCTGCCGGGACCTTCTCATCCCTGAGGTTTCTTCCCTGGTTCATGTTGTGATGCTGAGGCTGCTGAAGTCCTAGGTGGACATCGACTTGGATTCCCCACCTCCAAGGTTGGGACTATGGGAAACGGGATGTGTTCCCGAAAACAGAAGCGGATCCTGCAGTCTCTCTTGCTCCTCACCGTGGTGTTTGGCTTCATCTATGGGGTGATGCTGTACTACGAGTTGCAGAACCAGCTGAGGAAGGCTGAAGCTGTGGCCCTCAAGTATCAACAGCATCAAGAGTCCCTCTCGGCACAGTTGCAAGGTAAAGTTGGCCTTCGATTCCTCCTACCTTGGAGAGCTCCTTTGGAAGCTCCACCTGTTTCTCACCTGGTGACTTGGGCCATGGTTCCCATTGCACCATGCAGAGGCTTCGCTCACCATACTTTGCTGACATGCCTTTGGTTAACCCAAAGCCAAATGTGCTTAGTGTGCTATGAGAACTGACTCCTTTGAGTTTTTGGGTCCTGGCAGGTGTGATATTCTTGTGAGGTTGCTGACGCCAGTGTTGAAATTAACAACAACAAAAAAAAAACTATGCACAAGCAATTTTTTTTTTAAATTTGATTTATATGCCGCCCTTCTCCGGAGACTCAGGGTGGCTTACAATGCATTAAGCAATAGCCTTCATACTTTTGTATATTTATACAAAGTCAGCTTATTACCCCCACAAACTGGGTCCTCAATTTACCTACTTTAGAAAGGATGGAAGGCTGAGTCAACCTTGAGCCTGGTGAGATTTGAACTTACAGTAATTGCAGACAGCTGGTGTTAATCACAATGCTATCAGTCTGCTGAGCCACCAGGCCACCCAATTTTTGGTTGGGTGTGCACAAAGTCTGTTGGTTTACAAATTAGTTTTTTTCTGCCAAGTTCTAATTTGTTACTCTTTAACATTAGTAGAGTTGTTGGCGTAGTGAAATTCCATGTAGCAAACTGTATCTAATAGCCTTTGATAGACATAATTCAGAAGTCAGGTCAATCTTTTGAAGTGTTCACTGTATTCTTAGTTCCACTTGAAAATGACAATGGAATCAGTAACATCTGGAAATCTAGATTCTCTTTTAGAATCATCTTGAGAACTGTCATATCTTACAATAGACAAGTCCTTAAATTATCTCTGTATTGTGTAAGAATTGCTATTGATTAGCACTAATTAGCTAACGTAGTTTCTTTAATAGGTAAAAGACGCTTTCAAGTTGAGTTTGACTTCTTGAAACTGTATTCATGCAGTATTCTGGACACATAATAGGAATACTTTGCAACTGCTTTCTTATTTTTACTTTATAGTCCAGCCAACCTCAAAAAATTGCTAAGCTATTTCCTATTCAAATGTCTTGTAGCGCCAAGCAGTGTTGAAAAAGCATACCTTTTCTGATCAGTCAAGGCAGACTAGGTGCTGCCATCTGCTGAAGAATTGTTATAATTAAATGATGCCAAAATGCTTAATTGATAGAGAACAACATCTTTGTTGCTGAATATTCTCTTCTTATGAAATATACATCTATATATTGCAGTCTTTAGTGCTCTCAGAGCTTGGTTGTTTGCTTGCAAGCATTTCATTATCCAAGTAGATACCATTACCAGTGTACAGGTAGTCCTCGAGTTATGACTATAACTGAGCCCAACATTTATGTTGCTAAGTGAAACATTTCTTAAGTGAGTTTGCCCCATTTTACAACTTTTCTTGCCACAGTTGTTGAGTGAATCATTGCATTTGTTAAATTACTAACATGGTTGTTAAGTGAATCTGGATTCCCCATTGACTTTTCTTGTTGGAAGCTGATCACATGACCCCGGGACACTGCAGCCATCATAAATATGAACCAGTTGCCAAGCATCTGAATTTTGATTATTTGACCATAGGGATGCTGCAACGGTCTTAAATGTGAAAAATTATCATAAATCACATTTTTCAGAGCTGTTGTAACTTTGAATGGTCACTAAATGATCTATTTTAAGTCAAAGACTACCTGTATTCTCTCCCTCCCTCTTCTGCTGTCCCTATACTTTCTGGATAATACAGATTTCTCAGGGACACAAAAGTTAGTGATCTTGGAACTAGCATGCTGTAAAAAAATGTAGAAGCTAAAATTTGCAGAAAAATGTTTAAGAGGATCCTCAGAAGAAATTAAATATATAAAATTTTATTTGGCCAAAATCAACAGTCAAATAATGTGGGAAACAGATCAGTTTGTTTCTCATGTCATCCATTCTGTTAAATTTAACTTTATTTTTAAGTTTATTTGATCCTTGCTATTGTGAATAATGAATTGTGGTTTGATACGTTATAGAAATCTACCCAGTTGTAATTCATTCAATAAAAAGGTAAAGTAGGTCCTGTGGATTTTACTCCACTAGTCATTGCTCACTATAGGGGGCTATACTCATCTCCATTTCAAGGCCATTGAGCCAGTGCTGTCTGAAGACATTTCCGTGGTCATGTGGCCAGCATGACATCACAGAGTGCTGTTACTCCCACTGGAGTAGTATATATTTATCTACTCGGGTTTCAGTGCTTTTAAACTGCTAGGTTGGCAAATTCATTCAATAAGTACAATTAAATCCAAACCTGGATTTATTATGTTTTCTGAATCCACTATGTGTAAGTGCCCTAGAGGCTGCCTTCCAAATATTGAAGAGAAGTAGCATTTTGGTTTATTTTAAACTAAGGAATCTTGTTTCTCTGAAACCAGATGTGTCAAAGCTGAAGTCAGATGTGCAAAAAGTAGGGGCTTTTAAATAACTTCAGAGACTGGGGTGGGGGTGGGGATAATAACCATCTCTTCTTCCTTTGTTTTATTTTTATGATGATCCTGGACAGGCATTAGATATGGGAGTTTAGCAACTAGCTGCTGAGTGGCTTTATGGGCAATCTTAAATTTGATGATTGATCTGTCTGTCTGTCTGTCTGTCTATCTATCTATCTATCTATCTATCTATCTATCTATCTATCTATCTAATTTGGAGGCTGCCCAACTTGAGAATTACATAGAGTGACCTATAATTCAAATTTAAAGCTCTATTTCTTGATAGTACTTGGAACCTGCCCCAATTGCAAGAATTTCTGGGTAGCATACCATAGCAAAAAGGAATTAAAAAAGAAAAAGAAAAACTTAACAATAATACTCCAATCAAAAACAGAAGGAAATGTTTTTAATCAGCTAGGGCTCATTGAAATAAATGGATTAAATTGTTTTGAACTGTCGGCAAGGGGGAGGTGACACATACTTTTGGGGACTACAATAGAAAAAGCTTGCCATATTGTCTACACTCTATGCACCTCACGAGGCCTTCTCTAGATTATTAAACCAGACCAGCAATCCAAGCCTGACAAGACTACACCTGATACTGCCCAGTGCTGCACTACAAAAGGCTTTAAAAGTAGTGACCCATTGATTTGATCCTGGAAATGTACAAGCAACTAATGAAGCAACTTCAATATAGGTGTTATTTTACCTTGCAAGGATTAGTCTAGCAATAATCTGTCACATTTTGTACCAGCTGTAGCTTCCAGGTAATCTCCAAAGGTAGGCCCAAGTAGAATCTATTGCAGTAGACCAACTGAGTGATCAAGTTGTGAGTTACTGATATTTGCATAATATTTTGCACTAGGGATTAATAACATATTCCTCTTCAGATTTTGTCAATCTCCAATTTTCCTCTATTCTGGCTTGTGTGTTTAAACCACGTGAGGGTTATTGCTCCAAATATTTGCAGACTGGATCCATTATACATAGCTGCCCAAAAATAAGGCTTGTTAAATTGAATCAGATATGTGAATAAACATGCATATATTTTTAGATGTATAATACATTATTATTATTATTATTATTATTATTATTATTATTATTATTATTATTATTATTATTTAATTTGATTTATATGCCGCCCTTCTCCGGAGACTCAGGGCGGCTTACAATGTGCTAAGCAATAGCCTTCATCCTTTTGTATATTTATACAAAGTCAGCTTATTGCCCCCACAACTGGGTCCTCAATTTACCTACCTTAGAAAGGATGGAAGGCTGAGTCAACCTTGAGCCTGGCGAGATTCGAACCTGCAGTAATTGCAGGCAGCTGGTCTTAATAACAGGGTGCTTTAAACCACTGTACTACCAAGGCTCCTGCATTACTTTAGAATTTATGAGATTACGAGTTCCAATTAATGAAATAAATACATGTTTTATAATTGTGAATCATCAGATATTTAGCCATTTAAAAAGAGGTATATTGAAATAAGATTTCATCCAGATTTCCTGAAGTATTTAAGCCAAGTCAATCTGCTGGGGAAAAATATGGTTCTAGTGATCAATTTTGCTTGCTGGCTAATGACATGATGCTATAATGAAAGATTGTTAATCTCTAATGCGTTTGTGAGAATTAATGTTCCATAAAGCAATGTTGAGAAGTGGAATCTAAAAGCATAATTACACTGGAATTTTGGAATTGGGATATTGGAATTTCCATTTAGTACTGACATAATGGATATAAACATTGATATCCCATCTTGTGAAAATCAATTGTGTTGGAGATGAATATTGGAAATGCATTTTTGAAGGTCACAACATACAGTAATTAATATTGTTAAAGCATTAGTTATTAGAGCCATATTAGTAACTATAGTAATTTTCAGCCTTTATATATATATGGCATACAGTTGTTTTTCCAAAAACATTGCATTCAGAATCTCAGTTAATTTAGTTATTAGTAGATCTGAAAATTATTACATCAGTTTCTATTGCAATCCAGTTAAAAAATTAATCCATGAGTTTTCAATTTTTTTTAATGTAACCATCCATAGACATACATGCTTCATAAGAATGATGTTTTCTGACTTAGTTCTGACAACCTGATTGTGTAGATTGGCAGTAGGGCACGGGCAACATTCCTATGTCACATCTGCAAGACCTTAGAATTAAACAAACATAATTTTAAAATTACTAGAATTCCATGAGATAATAATGTTAGGTCATTTTGTCTTTCTTAGACAAGCTCTTGCTTAAGACAAGTATGGTAAAAGAATTTTGTATGCTACTGCAGTCAATCTCTAAAATGAGATCATCAACATCTTAAAGATTTTGGAGAGTCGATGTTATCATAAAAAGGACACAAGTAAAGTCCACAAAGTAGGGGCACGCTCACAGGGCAAGGTCCAGGTTTCCAAGTCTAAGCAAGCTAATCTGGTTAAGCGAGTCCACAAAGCAGAGTCCAGGCACACAACAAATGGCAGTCCTCAGGGCAAAGACAGAGCAAAGACAAGGCAAG